TTATAGAGTAAAGCAGTTCTCAGGCACGAACGAAATGGGGCTTTTAGTAGTTAATCGAGATCGATGATGCTCGTTCAATTAAATATTAGCTTTACGAACGAAATTGTGCGATAAAACGTTGATGAAACTCGGACAAAAGAAAATACTTTTTCCCATCGAAGGAATTTGAGCATAAAAGTAGAAAAAAGTGGAAATCATATTGTATTCCAGAAATAAAACTTTTAAATAATAATTTAATTTTAACTTGTACGTAAAATAATTATAGAATAAAATAGTTATATTATAGAAAACATGTATATACTTGGAAAGTTATAAATTTAAGAAAAAAAAAAACAATATATTATCTTCACAACCATTATTTTATAGTAAATTATATAATAGTATAATCAATTGGAGAGCATAATTATTATTTCATGACATATCGTAATCATTGCACTAAAAACTTCCACTCTTACCAAAAAAAATTCGACTGCGATACCAAACAATCCATGTTCGTGATATATTATCAGATTCGTGAAGTCACGAAGATAAGAGATGAGTCTACTGTGTCGGTACGAATAACGGGACAATCTGACTGTAAATAAGTTAGTCCAGCCACGTCCTTGATTTGTCGTCGCCCGTCGTGGAAGGTGCAGATCGCCGCACGAAAACGTGTCGCAGACTCATTCTTGCCGCAGTTAAAACCGCTCCTCCATGTCTCGGACGATGAACGCGTCCACTTTAAAACAAAGGATCCTATCAGATAAACGCTTTTTCGATACGACAAGAGGATGCATGAGGGCTGTCCACTGCAGACTGATGCTACGGCGCGATTAACTTCAAACGAAACTGTCCGCGCTGTTGTCCAGCGTATTATTCTGAAAAAAGGATTTATTTACGCTTCCTTTCTTTTGATAATATAGGAGATAAGTCGACTCGAAGTTTATCTTGATCGATAATTTGAAAATTATTTACTACAGGAATAATATAAATATAAAATTGTCAAGATATAAATTTAAGTTACAAAGTTTTGAGTCTTTATTCATTTTGTTAATTATTCTCATTATTCTATGAATATATTTCCATCAAACGCGCGTGTGTGTTATGTCTAACAAATAAATTAAAAGAAAAATATTGTTTGAAAACAACAACGCGTCGGAGAAAATTATATGAAATGCTCAAGCGTATATTTATAGAAAAAAAATCGATGATTGATGCAAATAATGAACCGCCAGTTCGTTTGGAGTATCTCATCGAAAACGGGTCGTGTGAACGTCATAGAAGAAGAGCACAGCGAAAAGCGCGTTACTATAGTAATCATAATGTTAATATCTTGCGAGATGTCTGAAACTTCGGGACTTTGAGAAAGCTGGTTCACTCGACTTGAATTCAATGTGTGAACCACATGCAACAAAGAAGGTTATACTACGTACTCCCGATGCTAACAAGGGGTTAGAGCCTTCATGATAGTTTCTGAAGAAGCAATTTTATGAAAATTGACCAATTTGTCGATATCTTGCTGAGCAGCAGTTTCATACAATATGGAAAGAAACGATTATATAAATTATAGTATAAAAGTAAATATCTTTGATAAGAAAAATCAATTCTTTTAACGTAATCAATAAATTAGCGACTTGATTTATTCGTACAATTTTTTTTACCTGATTGGTATATTTTCTGAAATTAATCCTTTTTTTTTTCTTTGCATCAAGACATTTAGAAAATTCATGGCTTTATCGATTCATAAAATCACCTGCTTGTGTTAAAACTTTTAAATCGTACCGTTTAAATCATTTTTGAATGTAAATTATCTTATCTTTATCGCAGCAATGTATCTACACGATCTAAGACTTAATCATCATCAACAAGGCGTAGGTAGGTCAGATATGATCGACGAGAGCCGCATCTGAGCCACTCGCGGAACGTTTTCGCGTGCATCGGTAACGAGAGGCAGCGTTAAAGGCGCAGGCAGGGCCAGTTTCTCACAGAGGCATCGGGACTTTCTCTGTATACGTCGCGAATTTTTCCGAGTGTATTCGTATAGGTCATGGCACGGGCGCGGTTGTAAGTATCCATGCCATGAGGCGCTCGTTACGCGGAATAATGCCGCTTTCCTAGCTAGCGAACGCCTGGACATGCCCGTTAATTTATGCGAATATCTTTTTTCCGTCATTGAGGATATTTTAACGCCGTTTTGCAATCGGTCGGTCGGCTACGTTACGCGCACGTGACTGTAACGAAAATAGCGATGCTGTCAACACGCGCAAAGTGCATATTAAAAGTCAATCATTTGAACTGAAAGATTAATTCTGAATTTAAAAAAAAAGATTATTGAATATTATTTCCTATATTTAATTGTTTTAATATTCACGGTACGCTATACATGTGTTAATTTGAATAAATAATATTAACACATGTTGTATAGCATATTGTGAGATGCTTTTATATTTTTGATGTATATCTTTCTTACATTAATAAAATCAAATGTAAAATACAAAATATTTAATATTTTGGAGTCAAGTGATTTCATAATAGCGACAAATTAATGAGAAATAGGATGTCTAATATTATGTAATGTTATGCAAACAACACCAAATCAAAGATTTAATAATAAGAAAGCTAAGAAAGATGCAAAGATAATCACTTCCAGGGTGTTACGGTATTACGCGGTTATTTTCGCGGGACGCAGTTTCTACCGTTGCTCCGAAAATCCTGATAAGCGCCGAGGGAAGAAGCCGGGAAGATCTCGCGTCGTAGGCGGACAGTTAACATTAATGAAACGGAGCGTACCTACCTGGTGTCTCAAGACGGGGCGAGCGGAGATTGTAGATAAGTTACGTGCTAAAGGAGCATACGTCGTAACTACCTGTACACGGAGAACCGTGTTCCGGTCATTCGCGTCCTTCTTGAAACTACCAGAGTTTCCCAGGCGTTCATAATGTAGCGTGCGGCATAGCACTTTCGCGCCATTGATAACACTGGTGCTGCTCATTAATTTAATTAAAAATTTATGAAGTCTATAAAAAAGATATCCCGTTGTTGGATTAATTCAAAACTAACAAGATTTTTAAACGAACAGTTGAAGTTTGACTGTCTCAAATAATTGTATAAAATAATAAAAATTAATTTTGTATTTGAGAAGGAGAGAGAGAGAGAGAGAGAATATATGTTTCCAAGCATAATAATAATAAGAATTGGATATTTTCCACGTTGAAATTTATTTATTAGTTTAAGAGAATCGTGATATTCATATCTTCACATTATTACAATCGCGCTCGGATTTTCTACATTGTGGCACTTTATATATCTATAATTTGTGATTCATGTCGTACATTTACCGTCGATTACTAAATATTCTGGAATCAATTCTTCATTATACAGAAAGGTCTCGCACGCTCCTTTATAATCCCGCTCGAAGATATATTCTCGTGTGTTACCAGATTTCGCATATTAAATATACTTATAGAAGTTTGCATCACGATCTTGTAAATCAAACGTGATTCATAAGAAGAAATATAATTTTAGTATTGAGACATAAAATTTATCATATCCTCCGTCACAAGAGAGATCCAAGCTTTTCTGAAAATACAGCTTATACCGGATATGTTAATTAATAATTATAAAAATCGTTCGGTTTATTTATCCACGAATCAATTTCATTACACTTTTTGTATATCATCCGTCAGCTTACGGTAGCAGCGGCGCGATTAACAAATGTCTTGCTGAAGTCTTCAAATGGGTCTCATTTAACCAGAAGGGACCCACTCTCGCGAGGCCCGATCGCCCATTCCCCGGAGGTTCGTTCGCTCGCGAACGTTCGCTCGGAGGTCGCCTCGTGAAACGCTCGCGGACGCTCTCCTCTCTCTGGGGTCCTCCGCGCCGCGTCGAGGAGGAGGATGTGAGGGCGTGAGACTCCTTGAGTGTGGGAGAGTACAAGGCGCATTGTAGAAGTCGGAACGCGCCGACATCGCCGACACCGATGCGGCTGCCGTATAACGCGAGTCGACGCGAGCGGCACGGGCCCCCTGCGGCCCCCTGCGGCCCCCTTTCCGCTGCTTTCCTCCCCTCCCCTCCTCTCCACCCGTCAACTCCTCCGAGGAGGGGGGCCCACACCGCACCCCGCGGGCTACGCTCGTGCGAGGCGGCAGGTCGGCACTCGGCGTGCACCTCCGGAGGGTATCTCCGCGAAGTAGTCTCATTTCTCGTGTGAACTGACCACATGGGTCACGTACCTATTATCATTTCCCGGTGTCTAAGTCGTAGGAAAGAATGAAATCTAGATCGCCGGAAGCCCCTCATAATTAACGCGCCCGCGCGAACAGTATACGAGGATCGAGGTGGGGAACGGTGAGGGAGGGGGGGGTTTGCGGGTAACGCTGTAACACCGGACTGATGATGGGAAGAAGGAAACGGGGAGGAAAAAAAAGGACGGTGGAAGCGCGATGAGGACGCGCGAGGTACAGATTCGAGTGAGTGACCCGGTAATATCGCGTGCGCCGCGTCAGTACGTCGCGAATATTCGATGACCGATATACCGGGTGCTCCGAAGCGAATTTATGACCGATCTATCGTGATATCGTGTTAGGTTGGTAGGAGGAAGTAGGTCTTTGGCGCTTGGAATATTCGCGAATATTTTTGGTCGGTGATATTTATCTCAGAATAAAATAGATCTAAATCGATGAGATTGGATCTTGAAAATAAGTATTTATTTTTAGACAGTATAAATTAATACGCTATTTATAATTTATTATGTTTTTATAAATCGAAAGCCACCAATTAAAAATTGACTTCGTATTAATAAACTTGGTGAAAAAACATCGTGAGTTATTTATCTATAATTAAAATGCAGTGTTCTTCTACATACACTTAATGTAAACATAGAAAATTTTTATAAAGGATATTCTAGTCTGGCTATCTTCGCACGTCCTCTGTATATCGTTTAAATGTTTCTCTTATTTAAGTTCACTTTTCCTCGAGCTTTAAATAAATGGAAGTAAAAAACACGAGAGACATATTTAGAACATATAAATCATCACTGTTGCTTCATATACTTATGACAATATATTGTATTTTGCTGCCGAAATTTATAATGTGACTGTTCGACCTGCAACGTAATTGGATTATTAAACGTATCGCGTTAGCTCAGCTATTAGATCGATTTTTGCGGTCAGAGAATCGCAGAATTCATCTAGTTGTCATTGAACGCAGCATCGCATTCAAAAATTGTCTATAAACCTTCTAGCAATTCCAAGGTCCCAAAGGACCAGCGATGGACAGGCGAAGGGTTGCGCTGTTTTGATGCTTTTGCTGTCGTTGTCTCGCTGGCGCAGCTGTTGTTTTGTTGTTACGCAAACGGACCCGCACAGGGGATTTTCGTGGGGACGTCGGACGTCGTCGGATCTGTCCGTCCGTCCTAAGCCCGAAGAAAGGGTTCCCGTTGTACTGCGAAGTTCACACATGTGGAACTGAAAGCCCCCGACGTCCGTCCGTCCGTCCATCCGCCCGTTTCCATTATATCACCTACCACCTTCGTCCACCCCCTCGAATACATATGGCCTATATGAAGGGCAAAGGGAAGGCGCGTCATCTTGCAGCTTGCGTAATGATCGCGAGGACCAGCACAGCAGCACCTCGCCCCCTCCCCCCGTGTTTTCCTCTCATTCTCGGCAAACGATCATTTTCGTGGAAAGGGTGGGGAACTCCATTAACGGTCGCAGCGTGAACTGCTTCGCTTCCGGTGTTAGCTTTAACCCTAAAATTCGACGATATATAGTATACTGTGAGATACACATAAAAACATTGTGTAATAAAAAATATTAATATTAAAAGTATTAAAGTAAAGTATTAAAATTAAAAATGATATTAAGAACAGAAAGACGTATTAATAACAAATTAGAATTTTTATAAATTAAAATATGTAATTATGAAAATATTTTCGTAATTTAAAATATGCAATTACATAAAATATATTTTCAATCTATATTTGTTTTTTATATAATTTATTTGTCTTTTTTTATATTAATAATAATTATAAACTTATAAGAAGTATTTAGCTTACTTTTGGCGCAAATATTTTTTTTTTTAACTAAATATAAACATGATATAAAATTGTAAACTTGAATCAAATTTCAATTATGTAAAAATATGCACTATGCATTTTATATCATATTTGTATAAAATTATAAACAAAGACACGTATTTGTATATCGCAATATGCATTGCATTAAATTTATAATCTTTACATACATTTGAACATGTTATTGCTATACAAGTATTAATACATTCCTCATTTATGATCACAATTGATTTATGATTAGCGATATGCGATCCATATAATTTAATTATGGGAATTGAACTAACGGATTACAGTTAATTGCGTGATTTGCGGGTTCAGGTAGCAAATATAACGCGTATTCGCAACAATTGTCCTTTTTAAAAGTCGACGAGTACTGGCAGGAAAGAGTCGTTGGTTCCAGTAGAACCGGCAGCGTATACTATCATTGGTATATCTTACCACATAAGGGCTGCTTATGAGGGTAAAATTCGTAATGGGGAAAGAGAGACAGAGAGAGAGAGAGAGAGAGGGGTGAGCGATAGGGCTACGAAAAAATCGGAAGGCTGGATGGCTATTAATATATTTTTTTTCTTTGGCTACCCCTATTTAGCATAGGAACGAAAGAGGACTCCGCTCCTCTGGTATCCCACCCTACTGCGCGTAATCTAACCCTTTGCAAACAGCCCGAGAAAAAAGAGACAGGCTATATCAACCGACAGTCGAGAATCTTTCGGGACAAAAAAAAGCACGTCTCACGATGCGCTCTTTCTGTCCACTATTTTGTGGTAAAAAAAAAATGAAAATAAAAAACACGATGCACCGTGCAATCGCGTGCATATGCCTAAAAAATTATAATAAAGTATCTGTAATTAATTACATGCAGGAACGTAATCGTTAATGACATGATTTAATGAGATATTATTTCGTGAAAGTCATATGGATTAAATAATGAAATTATTTGCAACATTGTAATCAGATATCATTATCTAAAAAAATAAAATATTAATTAATTTCTCTATTTTATGAAGATACATTTTTATCCCTTTATTTTTATAATTATAATAATATAATAATAAATTAAATTATTTTTACTTAATGCTTCATAATAGATTTTATTGATTTATACATTGATTTTATACTTGTATTTATTGCTATTTATTAAATGTTCACATTAGTATTTAATTTTTCTATCAGTATCATATTTTTAATAAAATTAGTTTATATTTTTTTTAATTATTATAATTAATATAAAAGGAATTGTATGAAATACAGGATTTTTTCTCTTTCTCTCTTTCTCTCTATCAGTCCATAGTCTATATCAGTCTATTTTATCTTAATTTACATACTGATTTATGTGTAATCCTTTGCTTGTGGTCACTTTTACTGTCGAGAGGTCATTGGGTATTTAGCCTTTGATCAGCCAGTTCACATTGCTCGGTCAATAAAAACAACATGAAACAAAGGCCATTTCATTATCCCGACATTAATTAATTATTCTTGTCCATCGTCAAAGTAATTAATCTCCGCTGAGATAGAAGCTTCTCTCTCCGCTTCGCAACCACCTGACAAATGTATTCTTTTTGCTGAATCGCGCGAAACCCACCCTAATCCATCCATTGATCGAGAGCTGATCACTTTGCTATACAATGGACATAAAATGATTCAGTTCATGGTGTATCTGCTCTGTATGCGTACTTTATTATACAATACAATAGGAATAATTTTATAGCATATGACACATTCGATACAAGCAATCACATTATTGCTACTTAAAAATTCAATTATTAATTAAAACCACAATTTCTCTGATCCAATAATTTACGATACAGTGATATCGAAATGGTCATAAATAGCAAATCGCGCAATCTTATTTGTAGGATAAATCAAGATATATTTTGTTGTCTTTTTTTTTAAATAATTAAATAATTTAAATAAAATAAAAATTTTGATAAAATCTAAAAAAATTCTAATTTATTTATAAAAAAAGTGTAGAGAATGAAAGATAAAAAGTGGTAGCTAAATATTAATATACATAATATTTTAATACATTCAATTCGAAATTAAGTCGGTTGTTTAAATATTTATTGAATTAAGATCGAAATGAAACGTTACTATTGTTAAATAGGAACAGCCGGCTGCTTTGTCATGAAAGTCAGAATAATCCAGACACGTCAGATTTGCCGTGCCGTCAAATCTCTCCCAGCGGGCAAGCTTAACGTGTCATTACATCGAAGGTCACTGCCGCCACCACCGCGAATGGTGGCGTAATTTGACTAAAGCTAAACGGAAAGAGAGAAAAAGAATGGGGGGGGGAGGGGGAGAGAGAGAGATAAAGGAAGAGAATGGTCGGTTACATTCATGGTCGCGTCCGCATTTTCACGAGGGATTTTCATATCTTTTATTGCGCGAAATCAATCGATCGTCGTCAGTGGTAGGGCCTGAAATTGGTGCAACGCCATCACATATGGTCAAACGGTCGCAAAAAAAAAGAGGGTAGCGCGGAATGACCAAACAGCGGAAGTACGTCGAAAAGGCGGCCATGCGAAGAACGATGTTTAGACGTGCGCACATTTTGTTGCATCCACAACGAGACTTTTTTCCTGCATATTAATAGAATGGATTAATAGAATGCATTCTTGAACCGTTAAATGATATTATTGAAAAAGCGAACTTATGGATATTATTCTCGTTATACATATTTACTGGATTCGAACAATTATTGCGAAATACTGCGATTGAAAAATACAGTGGAAATAATAGTCATTAATTTCACAGAAACATTGTTACGATTTGTAATAATCGAGGTAGTTAATATTGTTATTCTTGAACAAAAGATGTTATATTTGGCTTTATGACATAAATAGAGTAGATTCGATAATCGCTTGCCAATATATCCGCGCTATTTCCGTATAAAATAAAGCAATCGAGATCTAAAAGCGTCCAAGTAACAAACTTTCTTAAAGAATTCGGTTTGCTCCCTCTGTTCAAAGTGGCGCATAAATCTTTAAAGTAAACGCGCCCGGTCTCGAATTTCACGTGAGTAATTTTACAACCGTAAATCGACCTTTCAACGATCTTACAACCCACGGAGAAAGAATGAGAGAAAGAGTGAAAGGAAGATAGAAAGAGAGAGAGAGAGAGAGAGAGAGAGAAGGAGAGAGAAGACGGTTGAAAAACAACAGCATAAAGAAGAAGCAACGCGCGACAGCTCCTTCCCGTCTTCCTTTCATGATGACGAAAAACCTGCAAAAACCCGCGTGTATAAATCGTATGCAAAGACGAGGTGGAAGCGCGGTCGGGCCCTTAATTTAGTTAATTTAGATTTTATCCGTTGCCCGGAGAAGGAGCTTTTTTCGTTTCGTGATGATTCTTTTGCGGAGGGAAAAAAAGCGCCCGGTACACGGGAGACAACGAGAAAGGGGTTGAAAACAAGCCGACGGTACCGCTGGCATTATTATATACTTATTTAAGATATGCAACGCGAGGGTCCCCCGAACGGGACTCTGCTTTCCCGTTTTTTTTCGAGAAACCCGCATGATTTTTTTTTCTCTCACTCTCTAGTCCCGCTGCTCTTCTTTTTCCTTCTCTCTCGCTGTACTTAGAAGGCCGGTCCTAGAACAACGATAAATACTATTCTCTCTTTTTCTCTCGAGGATCACATCGGTCCGCTCTGTTCCCTAAGGTTTCGTCTTCTTCTCGCTTGCCCGCGGCTTTATTATAATCGGTGTGAAATGATAACCGATCGCGGGAGCTGGTTTTCGCGCGACCAGACGATATGGCACGACGCCACTCTGTTTTTGTTGGTACAAAAACAAAACGTAACCGTACCCGGCGTTACAATCCGTACGAATGGGTAACGGGTTAGGGTGCAAGAGTAGAAATGGGACGGTGGTTACGAGGTAAAAAATTTACGGGCTTAAAATCACGCGAGAAATTATTATGCTCGACGGAGCTGCCATCGAAGGGTTGAATCCGCGTGAGATTTCCGACGCGATTTTTTTGCATTTTGTGTACTTTGTTTATCGCGGTATCGCCGTTCCCGACTCGCATAATTCATTCGGCTTGAATGATCGCCAACATCTTTGAATACTAATGAATGACTTTGGATTTTTTCGCATTAAAGATTACAACGACTGTTTCATATAAAAAATAACTGATTTATATATTTTTGTTGATAATATTTACAATCTTAATTATATTTTATTATATTGGAAATAATTTTAACAAAATTATGAATTAATGCGTAAAATTGTTGAAATCTGAAGAGAGAGAACTTTTTATGTAATTAATTTATTAAAAAAAGAACTGCAGATTTCGTAGAAATTATTATTAAATTTAAGAAAGAGAATTCTATATTAGGACATAATAAATAATATCATTAATGTTAACTGTCTAAATATGCTTGATGAATTATCGAATATCTTTATGTATACCTATATTTTTTATTGAGTCATCTAAAAATTTTCCCACACTTTATTCTTATCTTATTGCTTATTTAAAAAAATTATTATACCGCGAAAATTATGATTGTCAACTTCAACTTTTTGCGTGATTCTCGAATTGTGAAGAATGACAGAGTGCTGGGCTAAGTGCGAATATACGTGACTTTCGGGAAAAAGGGAAGACCCACGTAAAAGATAGGGCGCTGCGGGGTATGTTGGAATAGAATGGAGGGGTACGTTGGCTGACCATGCCCG